GATAGAGGAGAACAGAGGAAAAACAATAATTATAGGAGGAGACTTCGACGAAGGAACAGGAAATGAAGGGAGAGAATGGGACACAGAAGAAAACGTAGAAGAAATAGAGACCAAGGATAAAGTGTTAAACGCAGAGGGAGAAGAAATGATAAAATGGCTAGGACAAAGGGGCTTAAAAAATAAAGAATGGGGAAAAGAAGGAAATGAAGAGGGAGAAATAACATATATAGGAGCTAAAGGAATGTCAACGATATATGTATTATGTAGTAGGTAACGCGGAAGGTGATGAGGCAATAAAAACGGTTTAAATAAAAGAGAGGGTAAAGTCAGACCACTTACCAATAGAGGTGGAATTGGGAGACAAAATAGCGAAAGAAAGAAAAGAAGAGGAAGAAAGAATGATAGACGACTAGAGCGAAGAAGGTATAAGGGAGTATGAGAGATGGATAAACGCAATAGAGGGAACAGAAAAATGGAAAGAGATAAAAAATAGAGTGAAGAACGCAGTTGTACAAAAGAAGATAAGAAAAAAAAAGGATCGAAATAAAGCTGGGGGAGAAAAGAATGTAAGATAAAAAGGACTAGGGTGATGGCAGAGAATAAGGTAAGAAAAGGGGAAGGAGACAGAGGCAAATACCTAGAAGCAAAGAGAGAATACAGAGAGGAAATAAGAAAAGCAAAAGAAGATGAGGGGAAAATAGTGGCACAAGAAATAAGAAAAGATAAGACGAGAAGAAAATTCTGGGATAAAGTGAATGGTAATAGGAAGAAAAGAATTGGGTAAAATGAAAATATAGGAAAAGAAGAATGGTTAAAGCATTTCGAGGAACAACTGGGAGAAAAAGAAAAGGAAGAAAGCAAAGGGGAAGAAACCGAAGACAGCGAAGGAGAGGAAGGTGAAGAAATCAAAGAAAGAGAAGTAAAAGAGGTAATAAAAAAAATGAAAAAGAAAAAGGCGACAGGCGAAGATGGTATAGCAAATGAAGCGTGGATGGAAGGCACGGAAGGCTTGATAAAAGATATGACAAAATGCTTAAACGGAATATGGAATGGAGAAGGATATCCGGAAGAATGGAGGCAGGAAATAATAGTACCAATATATAAGAAATGGAGGAAAGAAGAAGTAGAAAACTATAGAGGAATAACGCTGATGGACACGGTATATAAAATATATGTGGAAATACTGAGGAAAAAGCTGGAAAGAGAACTAGAAGCTAAAGAAACGCTAAGCGATACGCAGATGGGATTTAGGAAGAAAAGAGGAACAATGGACGTAATATATATATTAAAAACAATAATAGGGAAGGAAATAAGGGAAAAAGGAGGAAAACTGTTTGTATTCTTTGCCGACATGAAGGCCGCTTTTGACAAGATAAAGAGGAAGAAAATATGGGAAACAATGAAAGAGAAAGGGATACATAGTAAAATTAGGAAAAGAATAGAAGAAATACAAGAAAACAGGGAGTAAGGTAAAAGTTGGAGGAGAAATAATTGGGGAGTTTGAGACTTACAAAGGCGTAAGGCAAGGGTGCCCTTTGAGCATCACGTTATTTAATTTTGCCTTCGCCGACCTGGAAGTGAAGATCAAGCAGGTGCAGGAAGGAGGGGTAGTGATAAGAAGGAAGAAAATATGGACATTAGGATATGCAGATGATATAGTGATGATGGCAAAGAGTAAAAGTGGAATGAAAGCGATGCTGAAAAAATTTTATTATAAAAGTGGCGTAATTTGATTATTGAATTGTGTCACTTATAACTTTAAAAGGCGATTTTTCCTCGAGAAGTAATTTATGTTAAAAAATTCGTCATTTCAAGTTTAATTTTTTAAATCGTATAATTGCAGTTTCGATCGAGCCATTTTGCGATAAAACATGTACAAAATTTGTGTCAATGACAAAAATAGCGTTGTAGGGGCTACCAAGCGTAGAAAGGAGCCCATTTCGCAAGTATAAATTCGCTCGTCGCTGCGGCAAGAGGACTCACTATCCTACCTTGCTTAGCAGCGCGAGCACTGTTAGAGAAATAAAGCCTCAGCAATTTCCTGAGATAAATTTCTTATTCAGTGGTTAGCCTGCTAAACTCCCACCCTACAGATATCTAAGCGCTCAACTCATGAGACTATCTCTCTCATGAGAAAAAAGCAGTCTTAGACATCTTCCTACCCAAAATATATTTGCTGTTGAGAAACTAAGTTGAGTAGTGATTGCGGCGCTGTCGGAACTCTCTCCGATAGATGCGACCACTCTCAATTGCATTTCGAGACAATTCATCGAGTTAGAAATCCTTGTGGTTTGCTACTCGAAAGATTTTCATATGTTATTTAGATTACACGCGTGTCAACTTCTTGCTTTCCTCGGAGACGCGATTGCGAATTCAATATTAAGAGTCCGAACTATTGTTTTGATAACGCGAGATAGATTCAAACGTTACACTACCATGTAACTTTTTCGACTTTGTACAGTGTTACAAAGTACTTATGGAAATAATAACGTACATAATGAACTCAAAAAAATCTTAAAGAACAAACAAGTTATCATAAATCTAATTGAACAAAGTCTCAACATTCCTTCTGTGAAAATTAAACTCTCTAAAATTAAAAATAAACTATCCCAAAGTAATTTCGATGAAAATATATAAATGTCTCAAAGTAAAGCTGAATATAATTGACAGTGAAAACCAAATTGTTAAAAAAAATGTATACGCAAAATAACTTACAACTAAAAAACTCTAAATCCCTTCGATTGATATTTTGTAATGCACACAGTATATGCAAACGGGATAAAGAACTTCCAGTATTATTAAACAATATTAACATTTTTATGTGTGTGGAATCCTGCTTAAATGACAATGATGACTATACAAATTCAAACAGCATTAAGAGTAAAAATAAAAGAAACTTTTTGAATTCAAAATTTTCTGTCAAATTTGCCCAGCTGAAGAAAAACCGATCGAATAAAAGAGGAGGTGGTATCCTGGTCCTAATAAAAAAATCAATCGCATTCATGGAAGTCAATATAAACTCTCCTCGCGCATCGTTAGAATTGTGTAAAATAGGCTTAACTAATACAGATTCGTCCATTAAAATTATTATCTGTTATAGAGCTCCTGGGATTCTAACACAACAAATGTATGATTCCTTAATTTCATTAGTCGATCCCAATTATCCCACAATTTTTTCTAGAAAACTTTAATGCACACAATATAATGTAGAATTGTAAAAAGATAGATAAAAAGGGTGAATTCTTAGCAAATAGTATCATTGATCAAAATCTTTTTATTTATAATGTAAATACAATAACTCATATGAATCCGACTGATTGCTCACACTCAAATGTAGACTTAATTTTATTTACATTAAACTTAGCTCCGAAAATAAACGTTGTTGTTGCCAACGAACCCATGGGCAAAGTAATCATCAGTGATTACTCCATATTTTGTTCGATATAATTTGATAAAAATACTTATAGGAAAAAATCATTTTAAATCAAATCAGTACGAACAAACTGGAATAGGTTTATAGATAGACTAAATAATAATTACAAGACTTTTCTAGAGGACCAAGACTTTTTAAATGCCTCGTCTGAAAAGAAATACAAAATATTTACCTAAATTATTGTAAATTGTTTAAAAGAAAGTACGCCAACAAAAAAATTTGTAGATCCGTTTAAACATAAAAATCTAGTCCCATAGTGGGACGAGGAATGTAACAAAATGAGAAGAATGCGTAGAACAGCATATAGAAAGTGGAATTATAGTAAAGCACAGCCAGATCGTATTGCATATAATAAAATCAATTACCTGTTAGTCAACACTTTCAAACATAAAAAACATATCCTACATATGTTTAGAATAAATGCAAAGTTTTCTAAGTTAATGAACTAAAACTCATCCATATAACATTAGTAAAAATCTACAAAATGCTAATAATATTGATATTACGTTAAATAGAATTTGCCCTCCTTCTGCTGAACCCGACCTAGAATACTTACCAAATAGTAACCAATTTAATAGTCAGATTTTCGATGCTCCTTTTACCTTTTGCGGAACTAAACTCGGTTCTAGAAAATGAAAAAAAGAATTTAGCTGCCGGTATTAGCGGTATCGATTATGAAACAATTAAAAACTTACCAACAAAATACAAACTTCTTCTGATAAATATTTTCAATATGATGTACTAGCGAATTATGTATAGCGAAAACATATATCCAAAGGCTGAGAAAAAATCATTTGTAATATTTATTGAAAAATCTAATAATACCGAAGTCACACCAATCTTTCTTACATTCAGTCTCTGTAAACTTTTTGAGTCGCTAATAAAAATCAGACTACAATGGTTCTGCGAATATTATGATATTTTACCTAAAAACAAATCAGGCTTTAGAAAATGTCGGTCATGTACAGATAATAATCTTGAGTTCTCTTTGAAAGCAGAAGAAGTTATCACACAAAAAAAGACTTAATTACAATTTTTCTTGACATTAATTACGTTTATGATAACGTTCAAAGTGATATCATACTAAATAAATTGGCTAAAATTGAGTGTTCTGAATTGATAATAAAATTTATAAAATTTATCATCCATGAAAAATTCGCCTACACGGATCTTGGAAAAGATGAATATAGAATTAGTTACAATGGTTTACCTCAAGGTGGAGTTCTTAGTCCCCTTTAATACCTCATTTATGGGAAAGATATCACTAAAGACATTCTCCAAAGCGTAACTATCTCACAATTTACGGATGATATTGGAGCGTATTGTAATCTTGGCTCAGCAGTAAAATCGAACTACAGGCATCCCTCGTTATTCGCGGTTTTGGTATTCGCGATTCACCTTATTCGCGGTTGCCCGAAATGTGCCTTCCCTTGTTATACGCGGAAAACTAACTTGTTATTCGCGGTTCGGTTTGCTGCAATATTCACTCAGATTGTAAATTTTCGTAACCCTGAAAGTTTGAAAATATTTTGTTGCGCACGTTTTTTAATCAAAATTTTGTTGTAAAATGGTACCAACTCCTAAAACACCTAAAACACCTAAAACGCCTAGAAGTAAAAAAGTTATGTCTTTAGCAGACAAACTTAAAATTTTGAATCTCATCCGAGATGGTGAAAAAATAGCTTGTATTGCGAAAATATTCAGTGTCAACGAATCAACTATTCACTCTATTCGGACGAACGAGGACAAAATTCGAAGCAGCTCTGAGATATTAGGCCAACATGCGACTTCGGTAAAAGTTGTTCGACGAAATACACTCGAGAAAACTGAAGAGATGTTGTTGATTTGGTTACAAGATTTGATCCATAAAAAAATACCAGTCTCTACAGCAGCTATAAGAGATCAAGCCATTCAGTACCACAACTATTTGAATACAAAATACGAAAGAAATGACGCTTCACAGTTTGAAATTTGCAGGTTAGTAGTGTCGTTATTAATCGTGAGATAAGTAAATAAATAAATAAATAAATAAATAAATAATAGGTGAAAGTGCAAGTGCAGACCACGAGGCTGCTCGCCACTTTCCTCCAATACTTCAAGAAACTATTTCTGAAAAAAAAATACGTGCTGGATCAAATATTCAATTGCGATGAAACGGGAATTTTTTGGAAAAGGATGCCGAATCGTACGTGGATTGCAAAAGAAGAAAAACGGGCTCCGGGATTCAAAGTCGCTAAAGATCGCTTCACTCTTTTATTCTGCGCAAATGCCTCAGGAGGTTTCAAATGTAAACCAATGCTGGTTTATCGTGCCGAAAATCCAAGAGTTTTAAAAGGAAAAAACAAAGATCACCTTCCTGTTTATTGGAAATCAAATAAGACTGCTTGGGTTACACAAGTAAACTTTGAACAGTGGTTCAAAGAATCTTTTATACCTAATGTGAAGCAATACTTGTTGAAAAAAAATTTAGCGTTCAAAGTGCTATTATTGCTAGACAATTGCAAAAGTCATCACAGCATAGCCGATATTCATCCTGACGTAGAAGTCATGTTTTTTCCGACGAATACAACTTCTCTCATTCAACCTATGGACCAAACCGTGATTGCGACTTTCAAAGCCTATTATTTGAGAAGAGTCATGAAAAAAATGCTACAAGAAGTCAATCATCATCGCACTTGTGACGGTTTCGATTCCACCTACGTTGTCAAAATGTTTTGGAAAAAATTTTCTATTCTCGATGCCATCTCTTTGGTTGAAGAATCATGGACAGAAGTTAAACCTACGACTGTGAGTGCTAGCTGGAAAAAAATTTTGTCGACCGTCGATGCTGAGACAGCCGTTGTGCCAGAATATCAAGAACCCGTGCAATCAATCATTCATTTAGCTCGAGAAGTTGGAGGTGAAGGTTTTGAAGACCTTCATGAACCCGAAATTTTAGAGGAACTTGTGATGCCAGTCAGAACAGATCTCAGCGCTGAAGAAGCAGAAGAGCTTATTGTGCCATTGCCTCAAGACAATCTTCAAGACAATAAAGACGTAGTTCCAACTGTATTTGGAGGAACAGTAATTTTAGAAATTATAAATTTATTAAAAACAGCTAAGGAAACAGCTATAGAACGTGACCCAATAGTAGTTCGGAGTCTCAATTTTAAGCATAACTGTGAAAAGGCAGTCGAAGTTTATGAAGATTTATATAAAGATGCGTTGAGACGTGCAAAACAATCTCGTTTGACAGACTATTTCAAATCCAATTGATTATTTTGTAATAATTTGTATATATTTTGATAAATAAATCTTATGTTTAGGAACCTAACCCCTCATTTCCCATAAGCGTAAGGTCTTGCTATTCGCGGTTTTGTTATTCGCGGTACCTCGACGGAACGTAACCCCTGCGAATAACGAGGGATGCTTGTATTAACTAAACGATTGTGACGACTAGCCGTAACTTAGTTTTTTTTAATTTAATTATTAAATATGACGAACGGAGTGGGAACCTTGCTGATTTCCCACGATGAAAACGCGTTCGAGATAAAGTGTTTATAGTTGCCCGAGCCTGCGTACTCGGCCTTACAATCGACGCTCTATCCTGCTTTGTCCCACGCGCATGTGTTGACAGGAGCCTACCATCATCGCGTATACTTCGTGAACTGTTCTCGCTCTGATAATGGAAGGGGATCATAAAAATGCAATTTATCTTTTTTTTCCCACCGAATTTTAAGAAAATATCCGTAATATTAAATAGATTTTCATCAATTTTGTAAGTTATTATAATGCGCATCTTTTTGTCACCGAATAACTAATAAATAATTTTATATTAGAACAATAATGTATTTTATAATAAATCGTAAAAGGTTTGGATTTTTCTGAATGTTTATAATAATCACTATGTATCGTTAAAATTAATTAAGTTTAGTACGATTTTGTATAAGTAATTATAAACTATAGCGTTACTCTTGCTCTTAAAAGTGGCACTCCGAGAGCCATCTCGTGAGAAAAGGGCCCAAGTCAAAAGGGGACCGCCCTTTCTCTCTCTGAAAATTCACGCCCACAGACCAATAAAGAAATCCTAGATATGATTAGAAAATTTCCCACCAATACAAAATTTGGCCGTTATCGCTTCATGGGCCTGAGGAAAGGGATTTCCACCCAACCACCCACTGCTTATAACAAGCTCTGTACAAGACTGGAGGGCGGTAGTGGAGTGGGCACCAGGAAGTGCCTAACAAGAAGTGATTACCAGTGAGTGAGTGCTGGAGGAAGCATCAAAGAAGAAAAAGTCAGCCAAAATTCAATTAAGAAGCCACCCAAGTATATTCAGAATATATAGAGAGAGAAAGAGGCCAAAGAGCAGAGAGAGCGCAGCCTTAATAATAAGTAATTAGAAAAAAATAAAAGTAAGTAAAATCTTATATCTGGCTATCCTTTTCTTTCTTTAAGCAATCCGCCCTTTTGTTTGGAAATTCATTAAGCGTGAGTCTGGTGAATTTTCATTAAAGTCCCTTAAGAACACATTAAGCGTGAGTCTGGTGTGTTCGTAATAACATTTGGTTATTACATTCCGCGCTAGCATACAGTTTTCTTAACGCAACAATATTGCTCGTCCCGGCTTATGTGTTACACGATAGCCAAATCAGAGCAACCCTGAGTTTACGCTTACTCCAAGCGTACCTGAGAGTGACCCCGACGTCACACGATGTAGTAACTAAAGCAGTAAATATAATGAATAAAAATTTAAGTGATATTGGCCTGTTCTTTAAATCGGAAAAAACTGTGTTACTTCACATCAACTCTAAACCAATTAACCAGGAAAATCAGAAACAGACATGGTAAACCATAAAGTAAAGTTTTCTGCTACACTTCGTTTTCTTGTTGTCACTTATGACTAAAAATTTTCTTTTTCTCCACATATACGAGGTGTGTTCAAAAAGGAAGGTGACTTTTCAAATTTCACGGGCAACGTACTTTCGATTATCGATTTTGTTGTTTTGTTATGTTGATACACTCTTCCCGAACATCTGTACCAAGTTTCAAGTGTATAGCATTTTTTGTTTGGTTGTGAGAGGCGTAAAGGTTATAAGTGTTTTGCGTGCTCGGCGATTTCTTGCTATCGAAAAATATGGATCAAAGGATTTGCATCAAATTTTGTGTAAAAAATAAAATAAAGTGCTCTGAAACACTTGAAATGTTGACGGTGGCATACGGTGAAACTGTTCTGAGTAAAAAAAATGTTTACAAGTGGTACAAACTATTCCAAGATGGCCGGGAAGATGCCAATGACGAGCCTCGCTCTGGACGCCCAAGCACGTCAACAACTGATGAAAACGTTCAAGCAGTGAAAAAAATTGTTCTGGAAAATCGTCGAATCACTATCAGAAAAGTTGCTGAGGATGTTGGTATATCGCTTGGCTCGTGCCATGAAATTTTTTTTAACGTTTTGGGCATGAGACGTGTGTCAGCAAAGTTTGTTCTGAAATTGCTAAATATTGACCAAAAGAACCGTCGCATGAGCATCGCTCAAGAACTGTTGAATGACGTCACCGATGACCCAGATTTACTCAAAAGGGTCATAATTGGTGACGAATCATGGGTATATAGTTATGATATCGAAACCAAAGTCCAATCGTCCCAATGGAAGAGCCCAGATGAGCCAAGACAGAAAAAAGCACGTCAAGTTCGATCAAATGTCAAAGTTTTGCTCACTGTTTTCTACGATTACCATGGCGTGGTATATCAGGAGTTCTTACCATATGGACGTACGGTCAATGAACAGTATTATCTTGAAGTTATGCGCCGTTTGCGAGAAGCAATACGAACAAAACGCCCAGAATTGTGGAAAAACAATTCATGGCTTTTGCATCACGATAATGCCCCTGCTCACTCATATTTGCTTGTGAGAGATTTTTTGGCCAAAAACAACACCACAATCATACCTCAGCCACCATATTCACCGGATTTGGCCCCATGTAACTTTTTCTTGTTCCCAAAACTAAAAAGACCTATGAAAGGACGGAGATTTGGAACGATTGAAGAGATAAAGACTGCATCGCTGGAAGAGCTCAAGGCTATACCGAAAAGTGCTTATGAGAAGTGTTTTGAGGATTGGAAAAACCGTTGGCATAAGTGTATTGTATCTGACGGGGAGTACTTTGAAGGGGACAACATAAATATTGATAAATAAATAAATATTTTTTCTTAAAAATACAAAGTCACCTTACTTTTTGAACACACCTCGTAGACTCACTTATTCAGAAATGTACAAACTGAGCCAATATCATTATATTTCTATGTGGTGAAAAATTGAGTTCTGATCCAAACATTCTGATCATCACACTATACAGGGGCTTGAATAGATCAATTATTGACTCTGTTGTTATATCTATTTTTCTAAAGATATAAAGCATGTAGAAGCCTTGGAGAAATTTCAATATGCATGTCTAAGAACGTGCATAGGATACCGATTATCGACCCCGACAAATGTTATTTTAGCCGAATCAAAGTTATAATCAATAATTTAGCGCAGAAGGTTCCTCTGTAAATGTTACCTTACTAAAATTTTGTCCAATACAAATCTAAACATACATAATACTATTCAATATTCGGCTCCAAAAATCATTAAAGCTCAAAGTGATAAAAAATTCCTGTTATGAATAGATTGTACAGATGAAATCTTAAAACTAAAAATCAAAGCTTTTAAAAAATTCAATATATATCTATTCGACTACAAAGATATAACAACAAGTATCAATATAGACATAGAGTTAGATAGAAAGTTAAAAATGAGTAACGATCCAAATTTTAAGGTAAATGAATTCATAAATAAATATAATACCTATTCATTGTATACAGACGGCAGTAAAAATCAGAATAACTCAGTTGGATTAGCATGTTACAATGCATTTCAAGATACCTGTACAGGGTAAGCGATAACCAACAATGCTTCAATATTTACAGCAAAAAGTATGGCAATTCTCAAAGCACTACAAGCAATCCAAAAAAGTAAAAATACAAATTTCACAATATTCACTGACTCACTGAGTGTTTTAGATAGTTTTCAATCAGTTAAAATAAGTATTAAAAAAAAACTACTACATCTTCAAAATTAAACAATTTTACAATGCATTAATCAAGAGTAGTCCAACTAAAGTAATTCGATTTATATGGATTCCATCACATGTTGTAATTGTAGGTAATGACAAAGTAAATACGCTTACCAAATCATTCACTAGAAAAAAAGCATCTAAGACTTTTCCTATTCTATTCATAGACTTGTTTTACAAATTTAGAAAAGAGTCCCTTTGTAATACCAATAATTTCTGTTTAATTAATAGTTTTAAAGGAAAAAAAAATACCTTAACTTGTATTTTAATTATTATTCTAAACCGTGGTATTACAATAGCAGTCGACCGAGAAAATTCATAGTTTCAATTAATAGATGTAGAGCCAATTACTATAATGTAGCCTTATCTCTAGCTAGAGTTAATATAATAGATTCTGATCTATGACCACATTGTGATATGAAAGTCGAAGAGAACCTGAACCACGTGATATGGCAATGCCCTCTATTCCAGGACCAAAGAAAAAAGTTAACAAATAAAATTTGTAAAAATAAAAAATTACTGCCACTGAACATGAACAATATTCTAATATTTCCGAACTCATATACGAGGTGTGATCAAACAGTAAGGTGAATTTTTATTTTTCTCAAAAAATATTTATTTATTCATCAATTTTTATTTTATCTCCTTCAAAGTAATCCCCCTCGGATATAATGCACTTGTGCCAACGCTTTTTCCAATCCTCAAAGCATTTCAAAAAATCATTTTTTGTGATCTTGTTTAGTTCATCCTTCGATGCCGTCTTTATCTCCTCAATCGTGGCAAAACGCCGTCCTTTCATGGGCCTCTTCAGTTTTGGGAACAAGAAAAAGTCACAGGGGGCCAGATCTGGGGAATACGGTGCCTGTGGCATCGTTACTGTGTTGGTTTTAGCCAAAAATTCGCGCACAAGCAACGATGTGTGAGCAGGGGCGTTATCATGGTGCAAAAGCCAATTTTTATTTTTCCACAAATTCGAACGTTTCTGGCGGATTGCTTCGCGCAAATTCCGCATAACTTGCAGGTAATATTCCTTATTTACTGTTCTACCCTGTGGCAAGAACTCATGATGCACCACGCCCCTGCAGTCAAAGAAAACTGTAAGCAAAACCTTTACATTTGATCGAACTTGGCGTGCTTTTTTTGGTCTTGGTGATCCAG